ATAGTTTGCCAAATAATACAAATATAAATGGGATGGAAAATAATAATAGAAGAGAACTAAAAAGGAAAATTTCACAGGACTGCCATTGCAGATATACAAATAGAAAGGTAACTCCAAAATTAAAGAATCATGAACATTTTGAAAGTGACGGCCAGCATCAATTGTAGCCGAATAAATATAACCAGCATATGTCATTTCTGCTGTTAGAGTGTCATCGTTAAAAAGAAAAACAAGCACATTGGAAAATGATACGATGTCTTTCTTGTACACAAGTCATAGTAGGGTTGTTGTAAACATGAAACCCACATGTCGGACAGACTGGAAGGCCCGCATGCGGGGAGCAGGGGACAACAAGGGCTGCAGGGTGAACAGGAGGTGAGCTGCTTCCGAGTATGATGAGAGGGATGGTTAGGAACTCTGGTTTCAAATTCCGCACACACATCTCAGGCATGGATACAGAGCAGGAAGCATCTGAGCAGAAATCTGTCCACAATACCAGTTTATGTGTTTTTATTATAGCGTCTTTGGCCTCCTCCCTGATATGCATGTGGGTGAAAATGTTCCATTTCAGATGGAACACGAAACCTCAAGCCGTTCTTCTCTACCAGTAATTTTATTTATTTGCTTTTTTTTTTTTGAGGCGATTGTCATGGTTTCTTTTTCTTTTATTGAGTTTATTGGTACATTTTAGGTCTACAGTACAGTTCCATTCATCATTGGGATCCTGTACCTTTACATGACAGGTCTTGGTTCTCATTTTTTCCCCTTGTCCCTGCCCTCCCTTCACCCCCCCTCCTCCCCATTTACAAACACTTTATTTCCATTTTTTCATTTTCTCATATTATTTTCCCTTATTACCTTTCCCCCACCGTTCAAGAGCCTATGGGGTGGTGACCCCACAGGGAAGTTACCCTTTCCCTTCTGGAAGGAAAATTTCCTGCCTGAAGTCCATGGCTGTGGTTCCTCTGCATGATTCAGTGGCTCCTCCTTTATGGAGCCCCTCAGAGGGCAAACTCTCCTGGCTGCAGAATCCTTGTCGCGCTTGGTCTCCTGTGAGAGGTGGGAGGGAAGAGGAGCTGCCCCTTCTCCTACAGGGAGCTAAAGGGGTCTCTTTTCACAGGGCAGCACCTGTAATACAGAGGGAGAGCAAGTCCGCGAGACAGGAAAATGACTTGAGTAGCACGTTATTTAAAACCAAGGAACATTGAAAGTCACAGGCTAGAGGGATCTCAATGTGCGTTATTATCTTGCTTGTGATCTCTGAGAAGGAAAAAATTTGCGTTACAGTTAGGGACATGGAGTAAAGTATATACCTTCTTTAAAAACAATCGGTCAGTATAGGTTAACTAATTGTAATTCGGTTATCATCAAAATTTTTCCTTAATAGAAAAATTGCATGTGAAGCAGATGGAAAAATCTATTTTCAAAAATATTCTTTAAATCAAAAAGTATTCTGGAAAACAATTCTATTTTAAAATATAAGTATAATGACCTTATTATTTTCCAGCCTCACAATCATGATTTCCAAATATAATAACACATATGATACTTACACGTATAACTATATGTGCATGGTTATCAGTAAAAATATAATTAGGCCAAAATAGTATTAATATTACAAGATTAACAAGAAAACGAGGCAAATATGAAAAATGATGAGTTGGCATAAGGGATATGTGGGAGTAATGTTTTTATTTTTATAACTTTTCTGTGCTTAAAATTATTTCAGCATAAAAACTAAAGCAAGTGAGGAAATGAAAAACCAAATTAAAAAGTATTAATTGTAGGAATACACTATGACAATTTCAATAGCATATGTGCCTTAACAATAGTAAGGTCAAAAGATCCATTTTCTCAGAGTTAAGAATTCGCAATGGAGTTGCCTAGTGTGCATGGAAGAGACGGCGCCCTGTGTACTGTGGAGATGCAGTTGTAAGTCGCTCTATCATTGCAGACCCAACAATTGATACACGTGACGTAAAGGAGAAAAGTTTAATTTTGGTTCATGATTTCAGCAGTAGTCTGCTTCTAAACCAGAAACAGGGTATTGGAAGGGTCCGGCAAACAGACGAGCAAGCAAACAAAAACATACTTATTTAAGGCGTCCAGAGAGCTGAGAGCCAGGAAAGGCTGTCAAAGGAAAAGAGGCAGGAACCACTTTGGGGAACAGGGGTCCAGGAGCCTGCTCCACTCCTGAGCACAACAGGAGAGATTTCTTAAAACGACTACAAGGTTGAAAGATAAAGCAGACGAAAGTTCAATAAACTTAGAGGAGAAATAGAAAACGCTCACAGAACAAGATGAGAATATATAGGATACATAAAAATCTGATGTATTGGAATTACTTTTAGGCCAAGGGACAGAGAAATGACAGAACGAATATTATCGGGAATGTAAGAGCAAAATACCTCCCGGGCCAGAAAAGATTTCGAGTTTTATTCTCACGCAGCCCATCGTGGGTCATTGGGTGAAGAAGAAAATGCAGCACCAGTGCGTGTCATCATAACAGATAGAAGCTGACTGGAAAAGTAGGTGCTCTTGCATGACTCTACAACACACAAACCTCAGCACACAAAGCTTGCTTGTCACAAGTCACAAAGAGCAGACATCGTTCATAAGAAAATGACAGTGAGACTAAATTACACCGTTCACTGAGAGTACAGGCAGTCTAAAGTCCATAACAAGAAATTTCCCTTTTTGGAAGGAAAATGTCCTACAAATAACAATTTGGGTGATGTGTGCAATTAAAATAGCACCATGCATAATAAAATATAAAAGTATCAATTGTTTATAACAAGTTTGTTATATCTCGGAAATATAAAAAGTGTAATAATATCCAGAGAAAGGTAGATTATTTAGCAAAAGGAAATTGTGTAGAGACGAACTGGTATCCGTTTTACACAAGATTTCTCCTCAGCCTTGTTATCCTCTAGAAGGTAAGGCTATAATACGATGAAGGCCCTGAGATAAAACTTTTGGACTTAGAATTGCATACATTTAAAGTTATTATTTAAGAATGAAGATAATGTACATAAATCACTTTCAAATAGTTGTCCTCTTATTCAGTTGTTATCGTATTTGATATATGACCAAAACCATTTCTAAAAATATTCAGCAAAAATAAGAAAAGTAGCCTCTAATGTAGAGGAACTGAATCAGTAGGAGAGATATTAGTAAAATACATAATTTAAAATAAATTTAAATCTTGGTAAAAAAATCTATAATAATGTATTTATCAACCAAACAGAACTTCATGTGTGAAACAGTTGGAAGAACAGCAGGTGAACTTCAATCCTAAAAAATGACCGGCGCTGATGGAGAGTAGTAATGCTATTGAACGGGTCTGGAGGAAGTTGTAGCATGTTGTGTGTGTGACTGTGTGTGTGTGTGTGTGTGTGTGTGTGTGTGTGTGTGTGTGTGTGTGTTGTAAAGTCAACAAGTAATATTAGAACATTCCTAGAGGACCTGTCTTCTCTGCCTCAGGTCTTTTTTATTTTTTTTTTTTTTTGTACTGGAGATGGAACTCCTTTCCTTGCCCTTGTAAGGCAGGCGGGGGCGCCACCGAGGTAAATCCCTGGCCTTGCCTTAGGTCTTTTTGAGTGCATCACTTTTCATTTAAATATTTGCAATGCTCACTGCATACACAAAATTAAAATTGTTCCCCCCTGACAAGTGTGTCTATCATCGTAACCACCTCAGCACCACCGACTTGACTTGGTGATACAGTTAGGTGAGGAGAATTTTAAGTTAGGAAATAATTACTGAAGTGTTTTTTTTCTTTTATCGCGATGAAATGAGAGAAGGTAGATAAACTACTTGCACTTAGAATTTTTCTGTGTTTGATAGCTTGCAATTGCCAATAAAGGTAAAATCATCACTTTTCTTCCGTGTATTTTTTGCTGAATTATGGTTAATAATTGCAAAGGTTTTTTTTAGTCAAGTCAGATATGTATATTTTCATAAGACATCCGCAGGCTTCCTCAAATGGAGACTGATTAAAAGCTGATTGTTGATTTGCAGGCCCTACAGTTTTTTAAGACAGCAGTTTACAGAAAAGTGCAAATCAGCTGAAGTTTTACCATGAAATGCTTCAACAGAAGCCAGTGAATTCCATTCCACGACCCCTGTTATCTTCATGGGTGGCGGGTTTTGAGCAGAGGAAAGTGGGGGAACCTAAGACCAGGAGGAGTGTGAATAGGCCAATCAACCTTCATTGCCACGAGTTAAAAAGATTTCTGAAGTCAAAAATGGCAATATTTTGATTGCTCTTTTGAAATATTGAATAACACCTTTAAAGTCTAAATCCTTCATAAAAGTGTAATAAATTCATTCACCTTACAAATAGTCAGAAAACCATAACAAGTTGTGATTCTAAGCAAAAATAAGTAACTAGTATAAGATTAGCAAGAGGCAAAACGTTGGGGCAACAATTTTCCCTAACTGTAGCATCATTCTTAATCTTTAGAACAAGGAGAATCAGTTTTATACTCACACTTAAGTATAATATTGAAAATATTCAATAATTATATTTTATTATACCTTTAGCATAATTTACTAACTTCAAAAAAACCACCTGTATGAAATACTGCCAAGTAACATTCCATCCTTGAACACTTAATTCTTTTGGGTAGAATTATTGTGACCCTTTGAATTTCCCTAGAACTTACTTGTGATGTGTTACATGATGCTATCATTGTCTGGTAATATTTAGCATTTTGATAACCTGCTTTTTAAAAAATTCATCTATTTGTCTCCTAAATTACAATTCGGGGTAGAAAGGAGCCATGATTTTCATTTGGTTAGTTCATGGGGCAGTTATCTAGCTCCGGGACCTTCTGTATAGCATGAGTTCAGTGAACGACTAACCCAACATTTCAGTGATTACTTTGTGTCATTCTGGTGAGAGTCCCCCAGCTCGCTAGTTTAGGACTTGGCTCACTTTTTTGTTGCTTATTTCTTTGTATTATTTTTCTTTTGTCCCCAATATTGGACAGCTGTGTATTTCAAAAATAAGCATATACTTCCTATTAAAGAAGAGACCAAAAATAATAAAATAATAATCTATATCAAATCCTAAATTATGAAATCACAAGTGAAATCTAGAGGTTTTCCAAGAAGATGAAATAAACTTTGGGGCTTCACTCAGTGTACAGTGAAGAGGAGGGGCCTTGGTACCACCTTCCCTGCTCTGCTTTCCTGGTGCCCCCGCTCACCGACCACCTGAGCTCTGTTCCCTGTGGTTGAACGCCAGGAGAACCACGGAGCTCAACTCTCACTGTTCATCTTTGCTCTGTGCAAACAGATTCTGCTGGGGAAATACAGTGAGAACGGTCTGTGCCTTTATATATGCCTTGAAATTTTCAGCCCATACACTCAGACTTCTAGGACTACTCTACGTGCTCCACAGATTTTTTTTTTTTCTCCATTAAAACTGAAAACATTTCCTCAGTTTTTCAATCTACCTATAACTGCACCATAAAATGATCCTAAGGCTTATCAATGAAATCGTGTACAGAAACCAAATGCAAAATTCTTCTCCTCTCTGAGATAAGTTAATTTAATATTTATTAAATTTAATGTTTATTAGAAAAAACAATTTACCTGACAATAAGAAGGATGTTACTTATTTTCTCTCTATATGGTGCATAACAGCATTGAATTTTCAAAATTCAAAAATCCACAGATGTTTAATTTTTAAACAATTTTATTTTAGAATCCAGTGTATGTCCTCCTCAAGCAAGATTTTATATTTGTTTGAATTTTTTTCAGATGTAACTTGCTTAAGAAATTTCAAAAACCACTTATTCTATTCTATTTTTACAGTGTTTGAATTTTAATAGTATAAACTCTGCCTAATAGGCTCCCATTTGGTTCCCTAAAAATATAGTATGACACATTCCATCCTAGAAAGAGAATCAGGGCCATGGATTATATTTCTAGATGCTTAATACCAACTATCTAAAACCTTGGGAAAACTAATCAACTAGTGAATTAACCTAAATGTATTTCATGACCTGATGTTAAATAAGCGGTTAATTAAACAACAATATATTTAAATGTATTTTAAACGAAAGATTATTAAATTTGGTGGAATGTTACCCGTGATTCGTTCATCTGTGTATTAGCAAGTTTTTTTGAATATTAAGGTATTTAACTTAGCTGAGAAGCATGCTTAGAAGTTCTGAGAATTCACAAGTGTGTCTTCTGATTGCTTTGGGAAAGAATATAAAAAAATGGCACGGCATTTTTTTTGTAGTGCCTGAGGTATTTACCAATTTCAAAGAATGCTTCTGGCCCTCTGTGATAACCAGTAGGTGTAGAAGATTGAGAACTACGTTTACCTGCATCTTTTGTCTTACAAACAAAACGCAGGCACCCTGAACAACCAAAAAGCTTTCAGAGAAAAATATATTATTTTCACTTGCTTTTTTGCTAAGGAAATAATGATACCCACGGATAAAAGTCACCTCTAAATCAATACAAACATACAATTACTGCTCTGGGAGGAGGATTTCCTTTTCTTTCTTTTTTCCCCTCGGGAGCAGAGTATGAAATAGTTTTAGATGTCAAGAAACAGAAGAGAGGAAATGAGGTGATTATGCATTTAAGCCAAATGGAAAACTGTGTCTAATTGTCTCGCTGCTTCATTGACTTTGAATGGTCTGCAGTCTCAGACTCCTGACGTGTTTAATGCCTTCCCAGGGAGCTCAACAGACCTGCAATATTGAGTTTTCCTGAGAATGCAGAACATGGCTCCTACTGGCTCTGTGTTTCTGTGTCACTATCTTTGCTAGGATATGTTTTTAAACCCTGTATGAATTTTTTGGTTCACAGTTTTAATGAAACTTGTGAGAGAAAACAAAAGCTTGCGAGTAATAATGTTATATTAAGGTAAGACTATCTCTTTTTGTTATTCTGTGCTAAAGCAAGACACATTAACATCATTTTTGGTTTCTTAAATTACAGGTGGCTAATGCCACTTTGATATTTATTCAAGTATTCATAAAGATTTCTTCCATACATATATTTCTAACTTAGTAACAGAGTTATTCTTGTTACCATCTAAGAAAATATTGGAGAAAATATTGGAGAAAATATTTAAATATTTATTTTATCTTTGATATTTAAATGGACTGAAGTAAAAAAAATCAAGCAGATGTCGGACAGTGAGTGTACTACAGAAAACACCATTAAACACCACTTATATAATGTGTGTCGTTAAAGAGTAATTAAAAATCCTGTAGTGTTTTCAATAAGCATAGATAATTTTTATTTAAAAGCAACTAAAAGTGTTCAGTCAAAAAATTTGTACAAATCTACATTAAATTGTGAAACGTTTTATAAGAACTCTAAAACAAAAATTATAATTATTTTACTTTGAATAAGATAATTACATACATTTATTCATATACCTATATTATAACATGATTAGAATATAAAACAGCGCAATAATGTTGATTACTCACAATAATCATTGCAAAAACTAGTAAGCTAACTACATATTTTTGGTCACCCTCGGTCTATTTCCAATTCCCATTCTTTCCTCTTGTTTTTGAATCCTATAATTTGGTAACTAGTACTTTTTTATTGAACTTTAGACATTGACATTGTATGTAAAAGTTCTAGAGTCTTATGATGCTATCATCCCCTAGACCAGCAGCTGTACACGACATTCATGAGACAAATCTGATCAGTTTTTTGCTTGTTTTGTTTTTTTCCTTTTTGTACCCGGGATTGAACTCGGGTCCTTGTGTTTGCAAGGCAGGTGCTGGAACCACTGAGCTAAATTCCTGGCTTTCTTTTGCTTGTTTTATTGAAACAGACTATTTCTTCACATATTGTCTATGCTAAATTTGACAGTCGACTGCCAGAATTTAGAAGTTTCAGGAAGAGAATATAAGAATCCTACTTGTAAGAATTTATCATCTAGCCCTTTTTGGAAAAAAAGTGATACTATTTGTTAAGAAAGTAATTTCTAGTAAGCATAATCTATTCAGAAATTTGTTCTAATGCAGCCACATTCATAATACAGAATGAGTGGACAAAAATTGACAAAGTCACTGGATAGATTTTCAATATTTTTTTAATATTTAATAAACCAGATTGTTATTCACATTGAATTCCTAGGAAGACCAGGTTGTATAAGAGTTAAAGAAATGTTCAGGTATTCACCAAGTTGTCTTTACTACAAGTCAATATCTACCAGCACTTGTTCAATGTATAAAAATACCAAGTCACTTCCAAACTTGTCTTTTAGCAAAGATTTCAAAGTATTCAAGGTACACCACAGGCAGTCAGTTGAGGCATTAAAAAGAGTCATTTTAGGGAAATAGATGCACCTTGGGAGCATAAGTTTAAGTGAAGTAACTCAGGCAGGCAGGCTTAAATATCACATGGTTTCTCTAATATGAAAAACTCAACATATACAAAGTACTAAATCAAAGATTATATAAAAAAGAGGAAAAAAGTTATTGTAATCCCTCACAATATATCTAAAATTGTACATTGAACTAGTACAATAGTTTTACATTTTTTATATGTTCTTTGGCAAATCCGTATATATGCTAATGAATGAATAAAGTCTTCTCCTAAGTGAAATTAATAAGTCACACATCTGTAAATACCGAATCGTTTCTCTGGTGTGAAAAACTAAAAGTATAAATGTATAATTGATATTGTGTAATAGGAAGAAAAGATCTAAAAGAGTAGAGGAAGTGGGAGGGGTAGGGGAAAGGGAAGAAAGGAAAAGAAAAAAAATGTGAAAAGGAAAAACATGGAAACAATGTTTTTTGTAAACAGGGAGGGGTGGAGGGGCCAAAGGGAGGGCAGGGGAATAGGGAAAAATAAGAACCAAGATGAGTCATGTAAAGGTACAAGATCCTAATGATGAATGTAACTGTACTGTGTGCCTAAAATTTACCAATAAACTCAATTAAGATAATAAAAAAATAAAGTTTTAAGTGATAAGTAAATGAATCTGATGCTGGGAAATTGAGAGGAAGGCAGAGGAAGGGAGGGTAAAGGGAGTTGAAATGTGCTGTGTAACTGCGTGAATTCCTTGCAGTGAATGTAATCATTACGTACTGCCAACATGCATCAACAAAAGCCTAGATAACTAAACAAGTAAAAGAAAAGGACACATCAGTTTATCTTTAAATATTCATGAAGTGGCAAATTCCCCTTAGACATAAAAAGGCTTTTGAAAACTTAGCTACATAGAATAAAGTGTGTATTTTTCTGCCACATTCCACAGGTGTACAGGACTATCTACATTTGATAGAATTGTACTGGTTAACAGCTTGGTTTCCACTTGCTGTTCTCTGGGATGTATGATCAGATAATGCTTGAGCTGCAGCAGAGAGTACTAGAGTCATCTTTTACAATTAATGACTCTTTCCATTTTTGCCTTCAGTAATGCCAATGTGAAAGCCAAAAGCAGCCATGCGGCTGTGGTTACAAAATGAAAATTTAAATTGTTGTACGCCAAGACTCTGTCCTCACAAAGTCTCCCCACCCTCCCTCCATTGGTCACTTTCCCACAGCTGAGGCACAATACTTCACATTCCCTACTCACCAGGGTTTGAGGACTTTCAGCCTGTAGTCTGTAGACTCAGATGCAGAAATGGCACGGGACAAGGGTCTGGCCGAAAAAGCTGCTTACCTCGTGGTGACCATGAAACAGAGAGTGAAGGGAGGAGCTGAAGAGAGAAATACAACCTTTCGGGCCACTCCCTGAGTGACCCACTGCTGCTGACCGCACCTCACCTCCCATGGTGCTGAGGTCTCCAGTGGACGGCTCCACCCAGGAGGACAATGCCCTATGATCTAATCACCCCTAAAGCCCTCTTCTGAGAGCACGAGAATTCGGCAGGACATTCCAGTTCCAAAGCACGACGTTCATTCTGGGGGTATGATCTACCGGCACCACGTGAGCTAGAACCACTTTTCTGAATTTGAAACTTTTTAAAATAACCACCAACGATAATGTGGAAATGACTCGCTTTCCAGCCTGTGGATCCAAGACTCTGTATCACCAACATGTCGGCATCTTTCTGATCATCCAGGAAGGAGATTACATTCCTACTTACATTTTTCATGCTATGTCAGGATGAGTGTATGTGTGTATTCATGCTTTTGTATTTCTTTTCTGACAGTTGTCTGTTAGCTCTTAACTATTTTTCTGTAGCGTTCTTTATTTTTAACTCTAAGATGGAATGTTACATTTTATTACCTCCAAATCAAGAACAATATATTATTTCTTTTATTTCATTTCCTTTTTAAAGAGTATGCACTTACAATGCATAAATACTACAAGTCTTGTTTGTTTGTTTGTTTGTTTTTTCTCTCATTTTAGGGAAACATGTTTAGTCTTTTATCATTTTGGCTGTTAGACTTTGGAGATGCTCTTTACCATGTCCAGTTAGTTCTGCTCTATTACCACTTTAAGGATGTTTGATTTTTTTCAAATACATTTTATATATTTTATTGTAGTCTATCAATGATGAGTTTGATTTTGGATCAAAGAATTTGAAGAATTATGCTGGGTATTGTGGTTTGTAGTTGTCATATATCAGCTTATTTTGACTGTGAACCACTCCACAGATTAGCATCTTCTGGGTGTGTCTTGGATGACTGACACATAGGCCACAAAACTGAGCGCCACCCTCAGCGTGGCCGACACCAACCAATAACCTTAGTGCTCCGACAGAATAAAAAGGGAAAGAAAAGGCAGTGTTTCCCTATTTTGGAGAAGCTCTGGTCTTCACCAGTGACTTTAAAAATTGGTCCCTTACAGAGGACTGGCATCCTGGCAGAGTCTTCAGCCTCCCAACAGACTCACGTTGGTTACTACAGGGAGCTTCTGGGTCTTCGGTCTTCACTATTACTGGATCTTCTAGATCTCCAGGGTACAGTTGGCAACTTAAAAAAAATCTTCTAAAAAGAATCAATTGATTCTTCAGAGAGCCGTTGGAGTTTTCCCACTCCTGACACCCTAAGCTTATCTACTACACGCGTCATATAGGCACATAATCCATATATGCAGGTTGTTAACACGAAGGCCAGGTTTTCTTTTTATACATAAATAATTGCCTATTATGTTTCTTTTTTTTAATGTTTGGTTTTTTGAGACAGGGTCTCACTATGTAGTTGAGACTGACCTGGAACTCACTATGTAGCCCAGGCTGGTCTCAAACTCACAGCGATCCTCCTGCCTCAGCCTCCGGAGTGCTGGGATTAAAGGCATGCGCCATCATGCCCGGCCCTATTGTTTCTTAAAGAAGCAAATGTGTGTGCAAAGAAAGACTTGTCACACTGTTATTCCGGCTGTGTCGTGTGGAGCAGCCTCACTGCACTGCCTCTACACACTGGCAGGAAGGGAGCATGTGTGCAGCACCCCCTTGCTAACGGCAAGTGTCCCCAGAAACCGGCCAAGGGAGCTGATGCGAGAATGCGTCCTTGTCACTCACCTCTCCATTCCACATTATAACGTGATCATGCACACTCGAATTCAATATATAGCTGTTCCCAATTTACCACTGGGTAAGGGACTTGAAACAAAAGCACAGTCTGTGAGACGTCGGGATCGATGTTCAACATGGCCTGGCCAGTGTTCAAGTGAGAGACCTTGAGGGAAATTTGAGGCTTTATGACAGACAGATCCTCATTTTTCTCCTTTGCCCCAGGTTTCTCTTCCCTGCCTGAATATGTCCAATTTCCCCCTGCAGAATTTGAATCTACATAAAATTCCTGAAAACCTCTGTCTTTGGGGTGAGCTGTTGCCCGAGGATTTTTCAACATCCCCCGTGGTTCATTTCCATACCTCGGATACACTGAGCCTCAAACAGCTGCTGAAGGAAGCTAGCAGAAAAATAGGCACTGATATTTCCAGACTCAGGCCAGACGAGACAGTAACAGAAGAAATTGGGCTTGCTTCAACATCTCACCACAGGCGGCGTTACACAAGTGTTCTTTTACTTTCGGTTGTTTTTGGATAAACGTCTGATCAGCCAGACACAAACAAGTGTCGATTGCGTGTGAGAAAATAATATGAGAAGGACGCAGAAAGCACAGTTTCCACAGCATCTTCCTCGTGACGGAGTAATTACGCTGTGTCACTGTAAAATGTTCCTACGGCTGTTTCTGTTGATACACAGTGAAGTCTACTTGGTCCTCTCCATAATTATGACAAAGTGAGGTTTCCATAACACCTCAGCAAAATATGATCTAGTATGTATTTCCCAATATCCACACACGACAGAAATAACAGCCACACATGTTCACGTTTTTTAATCATCTTTATCTTGAAATCATATAATTAAGCAATATAAGAAACAACTCTTTAATTGCATAATATTCTTCAACTTCGAGAAGACGAGACCCCATTATGTTGCATCTTCAAGATGAACAAATCAAACCTTCCTAAAGCAAGATTTTAAAGCCCTCTAAATAAATGTTTTCAAAGTAATGATAAGTTTGAGAATATTGCAAGTAGAGAGATAATGGTGAACACTTATTTTACTGTAATATTAATAAGTGATGAAAGTTTTAATGACTGGGATAAGACTAATTATGGAATTTTTTCTTTGCATTTAATTTAGGGAAAAGCATCTTACAGAATTCTGCAATATACTTTGATTTTCTTGTAAAATCATAGCTGAAATGTATTGTAAAGAAAGTATTTTCTGGAAAGCAGAAACAAAACAAAAAACAAGCAAAAGGGAGGAAGCTACAATATGAGCCAAACTAATAACATTTTTATGCGTTTATTTATTACGCTCCGGACCTTGCACTTGTGTGGCAGGTGCGATGCCTAAGCTGAATCCCTGACCTTAATGATACTGACCTTAACAATCCTTCCCACTTTTAAATTGCAGATTGCAATAGCATCACAGATTTATATGGACAACAGGCTTTGGAAGGAGGCGTTTCAGAGTAAACGGTGCTACTGGATAATACTGTTGAGTAAGAATCAACCAATGAGACCACTTCAAATAAAAATGCTCTATAGAGCAAAGACAGCAGCACGGTGAAGAGATAACCTACTGAAGAGGAGCGAATCCTTGCTGACTGCTCTTCCCAAGGGGACTAGTATCTGCGCTATATGAAATACTTAAAAACTAACCCAATAAACACAACAAAATTATTCTAATTTACTCCCTGTCAAAGAATAGCACCTCTTGTACCATTTACTCGCCCTCGCTGGTGAACAAAATCAAGGGATACTTGTTGGAGTTAGGGCTTAGAAAGTCATCTATGTAAGTCAAACAGACCTGAAATATGACTCTTTATCATGTATCAGAGTTGTGAACTTGGGCAGATTACTTGATACCTGAGATTTAGATCTCTTACCTGTAAAATGGGGAACTAGAAATGATCTTTCAAAACTCTTGGAAACATTAAGTGAAGTAAAACACGTAAAACAATTAGACTATGCATTTAATATTGAAAAGGTCCCACCAAACACTATTAAAATAATTAAAGTTCAGGATAAAAACCAACACATAAAAATATAACATTTCTCTATATATTACCAACATATTTTATACAATAAATTTGCAATTACTACAAAAAGATTGTATGGAATCTATAGAACACTTTTGGTAATATAACCTCTTTAACAATATTAATTCTGCCAGCTCCTACATAGGGGGAGTTTTTACATTTTCTCATGTCCTCTTCAATTTTTTTCTTCAAGTTTCATAATTTCCATTATAGAAGTCTTTGACCCCCCACTTTATTAAGTTAATTCCTTGGTATCTACATTTTTTGAAGCTTTTGTGAACACTTTATTTTCCTGATTTTTTTTCCCCTGTGTCTTACAAGAATGTCATTGATTTTTTTGTGTGTATTGATTTTGTATCCTGCTATTCTCCTGAGTTTACCAGATCTAAAAGAGTTTCACTGAGATTTTTGGCTTTACGTAAAGAGTTATATAATCTGAAAACATGGGTTATTGAAGTTTTCTCTTTCCAATTTGCATTTCTTTCACTTCTTTCTCTCGCCTAATAAAGTTTTGAGAACTACGTGGAGCAAGAACGCAAGACTATTAAGAGGATACACCGTTGTCTTTTTACAGACATTAAAGAGAGTCCTTTCATTTTTCCCATTTGATATTAGTGTTAGCTAAGAGATTGTGATATATGGCCTCTTCCATTTTGAGGTAACTCCCTTTCATACATATTTTCAATGGGATTTTTATACTGAAGGTGCGTTGGACTTTGTCAGAAGTATTTATTGATTATTCATTGAGATTATCATGGGATTCTCATCATTGCTTCTGTTTACATGGTGTACTACACATATTGATTTACATATGTTGAACTGTCCTTCATCCCTGGGATGAAACCAACATGGTCATAATATATAAGTCTTCTTAACATGATAATGACTTCTGTTAGAAACGATCTTACTGAGGATTTTTGCAAACATTGTCAAAATACCATTCTTTGCAGAATCAGCAATGGTTCAGAAGAGCCAAAGCAACTTTGAACAGAAAAGAATAATGCTGGAGGCTTCAGTACAGTGGACCTCAAGCTGACTATAATGCTGTAGTGACAAAAACAGCATATTGCCACTGAAACAAAGATGTAGACCAGTGGAACTGAATAGAAGACAGAAATAAAACCAAGCACCTGCAACTACCTGATTTTTGATAAGAGGGCCAAAGCACCTGCTTAAGAAAAGACAATGTCCATAACAAGTTACTCTTGGGAAATTTCTGTAGCCATGTAGAAGATTGAAGCTAGATCGCAATCTGTCACCCAGCACTAAAATCAAATCAGAATATAAAACCCCAAACCCTGAAACTGCTGGAAGACTGTTTAGGGCA